TGACTTTGAAAAACCTGGCTGGACCATGTCCACCATTACCAGACTTGTCAATTCACACTAACAATTCCTCAAAACAGAGCATAAGGAACCTCAGCATTCATATCCATTCCACAGTTTGTTGAAAATCTGAACATTAATGAAGGTAAGAGCAGCATAAGATATTGGAAAGTTGCAAGGGGTTGTGAGTCCTTGTTTTTTTGAAGATTATTTTTTTGCTAAAGACTTTCTGTGAAATTGCAGGTGGCAAGGGAGGGTCTGGTTCCTGGGCTGCCATGTGAGCAGTGAAGCTCAGTAGCATTTGTTCCTGGTGTCTAAACCCTTTCCTTTGTGTTGCAATCCCCTGTGCAGGGACTTTGGTCAATCTGACCCCACTGCATGTTCCTTTGTCCCAAACTCCAAGTCTAGAAGTTCCATTATCTCAGGTTTGATTCGGAGTCTGTTTTGCCAGCCCCAGAACAAACACCTTTGTTTCGTGCTATGTTAAATGCAGTGTTAATTAAAAGATCATAATCATTGCTCCCCTTCCCCCATGAAACCCTGAGAGGAGAAAAGGTCTGCCCTCTGTGTAATTCATGCCTGTGACTGAGGGGATGCCTATCTTGCCTGGGTATTGCTCAGAATCACAGTTCATCAGCTTGGATCACCAGCAGGGCAGACACCAGGGGTGGGGCAGAGGCAGAACCCAAAGGGCAGAATGGGAAAAACAGGGGCCAAAACAACAGGGACACAGGAGCAAGCACTGCATGATGAAAAACCCTTTGTGAGGTTTTACAGTAAAAACCAGTGCTTCTCATTAAATCTGTTTGCAGACATCCATGCAACAACTGAAGATGTCATACCCCATTTCATTTTAGCCTTTTTGTTCTCGCAGCTGCCATCAGCCTTGTTTTCCCTGCAGACGCTCTTGCAAACAAGATGCCAGATCTCGAGGGGATTTCTGCTTTAGAACAAAAAATTGCAAATAAATGGAGGACTGTAAAATATTTCAGTGGAAGGGAAAATGAATAAATTATGGGGGCTCTGACCTGCTACTGTTTTTTTGTTTGTATTTGTTCAGAGACCAGCGGCAGGGGAAACTGGAAATTATTCTGCACAGGCATTATATTTCATGCAAGATAATATGCATTTCAAATTATGACATCATCTTTCTTGTACTAATGTGAGGTTAATTGAAAGGCCCATTTTTTTTCTTCTAGTTTTGAAAGGGATGGATAAAATCTGCACTGGGTCCACAGTGTTGCTGCAAACTTGAATGGAGTTCATAAGTCCTGTGGTTAGCCTGGAAAATAAACCGGTGGCCCATTTGTACCTGAATCAACAGCAGGGGGGTTTTTGTGGCAGAAGAAGGCCTCCAAGCTGGAAGAGCCTTTACAGAGGTGTTTCATATGTTGTGCATATTTACAGATACCGTGGAGAATGCAGCAGGAGCAGCCAGTGAATCACCAGAGGGTTTATGTGCAGTAACACAGATGTTGAAACGCTGCTGGCCATGTTCACTTAGCCAATTTGGGTACAACCCCAAAAGATATTGCTTCCATACAGTTTGGCAGAAGCAGACACTTGGTTGCGAAGGCTTAATGGATTTGACTCTTCCAGCATTTATTGAATGAAGAGTGTGAACATGACTCTGATTGCCTCTTTATTTTCAAGGGAGGGTAAAAAACCAGCTTGTTAAAATTGTTTAGAAGTCCCACTCCAAAGGAACCCATTGGTATTTAAAGGGATCAGTAAAAACACCCATTTTGAACAATTTAAAGGATTCTGTGAATTGCATGTATCTGACACAAACACTTATTTTCCCTGGAATAATGTACAGTGAATTGTATAGAATTTGAAGCAAACCTTCTATTCAATACAGCAGCACCATGAGCACTATGCTTTTTCAGTGACCTATGAAATTTATATTGGCAATAGATATTAAAAAATTGGAAGAGAAGAGAAGAAGAATATGCCAGTCAGGGCCAATTTATTGGTGGACTTGTCAGACATAAGCCAGCCTGGATTTCTGGAGTTATCACCTAGATATCTGTCCATATGCAAGAATAAATAAATAAATAAATAAACAAATATATATATATATATATATATATATATATATATATATATATATATATATATATATATATATGAGGGTATATTTTTATATTAATATGATTTAACTCCAGCCAGCAACTAAGCACCACACAGCAGCAGGATGGAGGAGAGAATAGTTTGGTATAAACACTACTCAGAAATGGAACATCAGTGTGTTATCAACATTGTTCTCATGCTAAATCCAAAATACAGGCCTACTAGGAAGAAAATTAACTTTATCTCAGATAAAACCAGGACAATTGACATAGGCACATATATCTATGCATGTATGTAAATTTGTTTATGTGTATATGAAAGAAGACACAAGAGCAGGGAAAAAATAGATATTGAAAGGGAAATCAGAGTAATATTTATGCAATTTGAAACTAAGGAGAATGTAAGAAAAACAAGTCTAGATGAAATTAGTAAAGTAGTCACAAGTCTTGAATAGATTCCCTTTTCCAGGTATTTAAAATAATTTCTTGGACACCCCCTTGGCCATCACTAGTTACATGTAGCTCTCAGTAAGCGTGACCATTGCGCCTACCTACAAATGAGACCTGCTTGCAACACTTCAAGTGGTGATGAATTTTGCTCATATTTGTAACCTTTCACTTTACAGCTTTGACATTTCATAAGATAAAGATGAAGGTGTTTATTGCTTAGTGAGTCTTGTTAAATGGATTAAAATGTGAAGTAAAGGCTTAACTCCTTTCATATAGCATAGATCAAGTTCAGATTGCATTAGATCTTGTACACCTAGATCTGCTATACATACAGAAAAATACATGTGTCTATAGAGAAGAAAAGCTTTCTGTCAGTGAAAGGCCTGCCAGTAACAAGTCAGTTCAGGCAAAGATACAAGTGCCTGCTTTGCCTAGGAGAAATATTCTTGTCACATAAAAACTCCACCATTAATCAAAAATCACATTATGGCTTCTGGAATGAAGTTTCCTTTACTACTCTTTAATAATAAGTCTAAGATAAGATAAAATTGGTAATTGTACCTTCTCTTCTGATAGAAGATAATACTAAAGTGGTATAGAAATTTGAGTTACAAGAATATATTCACCCTGCTAATAGGCTTCCATTATGTGGTCTTTACTGATTTATTCATTACACATTTTCCCCACATATAGAAAAATTTAATTGAAAGTTACTTATTACATTGTTACAAAATGTTAACTAGAAAGTTTTCTTTAATCAAATGATCATTAATGCTGAGAGAGCTGGTTTACTTCAATAGTGCATTTATCAGGAGCAAGAATAACACAGGCATTGCCAACAATGATTTCACAGCACTGTTTGTTCTGCAAGCACTTTCAGGGACTAAACAGATGCTTTTGCAGCTTGATGGGATAGTATAATACTTTATTTATATTTATGACTTTTCATGATCAAAGATCTAATGACATGAGAAATGCAGAAAGGTATATAATATTGTGCCTTATCAAAGGAATGACATTACCAAGGATGGTAAGATCTTGTAAAATCAGATTCTGCCTCGTGCATGTCCCACAGAAGTAAGTGGAAGACAAGTGTTCATCCCACTGTCTCAGGCAGGAAAGCAGCTTGGTATAGCATCCTCCAGCAAAGAAAGATGGAAAAGGGAAAGTGTACTGGAAGCTGTAGCCATATCTAAGACACTTTGGCATATTTTGCATGCCCTGGAGGTGAGTTTTAAACCTGTCTGGTACAGGTGATGTCCTGGCAATAACATCACCCATACCCTTGGGAAAACTGAGGGCTCTACTTCTAACTGGACTAATGTCCCTTTTTTCTGAAGTCCTATGCAAACAGAAAGCTAAAAGACATCTTTTGCCCTAAGGAGGTGGAGGATGAGGCACAAAGATATTCCCAGGTGGACAAACTCAAGCAAAGGAAAATCTCCAGGCAGGCAACAGTGTAGGTGCACATGGCAGAGATTCCAATCCTGTTCTATGCAGCATCTTTTCGAGTTAATTTTGGCATGTAACTGGATGTAAAATCTATCATAAAGCAGGTAGGAGAGTCCCGTTGCACGCCAGATTTAATTCTCTGCAGCCAGTCCAGCAGCCAATGGTTCCCAGAGCACCCAAAGAAGACAAGTATAAATCTGTTCTCTTGTGTAGTGGTTACAGCCAGGCAGACAGACACAGCCCACCCATAGGGTAGATCCAGGCACCTTCCTTGAGATTTTAAGACATGTTTGCAAATATTTCCTGTGTTTGACAATAACCATAACTACCCTGTAAACATCTCTTTTATTTCTGATTGCACACTGCTCAAGAAACTGCAGAAAACTGAGTCATGAGGCACATTCACAAACTCCGTGGCTGGCAGAACCACAATCTGACTCAGACTCAACTGCCAGTGTTTGTTTCCACGGTAAATTCAGTGAAAATCACGGAAGCAGAGAAGCTAGTGGAAGAAATACCACAACCAGCTAAGGCACAAAAATAAATGATAAAAATTCTAGCTGCATGTTCAGAGACATTGACACACATGCTAATCCGAAATAGAGACCTTACGCCCCTTGTTACCTCATATCAACCCTGAGATGAAGACACTGCTGCCCTTTAGTCTCTGGTAAGGATTCTGGGACCACAAAACCAGTGATTTAGAAGATATGTATGATATAATTACATGGTCACATGCATTGAAATCTCCAAGCAATTTGCCATGACCTGTTAAACACTTATTCTGGGTCACTTCCAGTTCCAGCTGTAGCTGAGTGAACGTTCATTGACAGTGCAAAATTCCTGTGCAAACCTTACAAAATCCCTTTTAACTTTTACATGGGCATGGTGCTGCCCCTCATCTCTGCTGCTGGTTCCATCCCAGTAGCCACACCAACCTGTCCCCACACCCTCTTCCTAACCCACAGGAACATGAGCGATCCTAGGAAGGATTTAACAAAACTGCACCAACACAAGCTGGTTACTTACTCTGTTTTCCTAAATTTGATGGTTTCCTTCGAGAGCTCCTTGCAGTAAACAAACCTGAATGGTGGTTATTTCTGAAGCTCTCATACCCTGTGTGATTTGGCTTCTAGCCTGGAGCTCTGCTTTGTAACTAGGAATTATATAAGAAAACCACACATGCTCAGTGATGTTATGCAATATCTGAAGAGGGTTATAATTGTTTGGAGAAGCCAAATTCAGAATTGATGAGTAAGCATTGCTGGGGAGGCAAAGCCTTTCTCTGAGTTACACCCATGCACAGGCAGCAAGTTGAGTTGCTTGCAAATCACATTTATAATGGTGCCTCTTCTGAGCAGAAGTTAGCCTAAGGAGGCTAAGCTGGAGTAATTTAAAAATTTTCCCACCCCTCAAAGCCAAATTCTTCCTTGCCTTAGACCTCTGCTGATGTCAATAGTTTTGTTGAGACTGTAAATCAGGCCAGAAGTTGGCCCTTGTTTGGTCCAATTACCCCATAATAAACTCCCTGAGGACTACTGTGCTGATATGTGATTTGTATCCTTTCTTCTCTGAAATGCTGTATTTATGCTTATAGATTGAGTTAGCAGTTCTAAGGGAGGGGAAAGGCTGCCCGAATCATTTACAAATGGGAAAATCCATATATTTGAGACCTGGTATGAAATATTTGCTTTTGAGCTGTAACCTTGGGTAGTGCTAAACTGCTGTCTAAAGTAAATATTTACAGCCAAGTTGCAACAGGTCCTAAGAACATGTGATTTTCTGTGTGGAAACACTGACACATAAGGGTGCGACTTTGTCCCAGTAAAACACTGAGTTAATTGTAGGTTTTGTAAATGTTATCAAGCATAATCTTGAAATTAATTTTTAAATGCTTGCTAATGATTTTTAAGCACGTATCAAGCAGCTGGTTTTGTGTCTGATTCCCAAGTTCTTAAACAGACAACTGTTTTCCTTTTAGTGACTTTGTCAGGCTTAAGTTGGGATTAATTTGACTGCAGGTGTCAGATAAGCACAGTATTCTAGCAGCACTACCAAGAACCATGTGGACAAAATGCAGAAGCATGAAAGCACGTTGGTCAAAACTCTGAAAGATTGATGGAAGTGAGTTATGCCGTTTAAATATCTTTGTCTGCCCAGAAGAGCTAAACTTGCAAGAGGGGTGTAAGGAATGCTGCAGCTAGAGTTTTGCCACGTTCCCTGTTAGCATAGATAACTGCCCAGGGTTTTTTTAATCACAATTTCTCTGTCGACATAAAATCGAGCAAGCAAGCTTCATAAATCATGCAGTGACAGCTAGAGTGGTCGGCCAATGCTAAACACAACTGGACTCTTCTTTTTAAGCCTTTGCTTCTTAGGTCGCCTGCGTCAGCAGTACTCTTCAACAAACATCTGCAGTTCATCTTATCGTTTGAAGAAATATATGAGTTTCTCCATCAGGGTGGTTTTTTTAGCTTTAGCTTCTTGATTCGTTTGAACACCATCTGCTACATATAAAATGCAGAGAATTTGTGAAATGTGCATGCAGTGAGAAAATTTTAATTGTATTAACCTTTCTCTTTTTGATCAAGATAACTTCTTGCATTCATCATCTCCTGATACGTTAAGTAAGCAGATCGTGTCTAAAATACTGCCCAAATATTTTCTTTGAGATCTTCTATCTCTGTAATACACAAATAGCTCAGGCACAGAACCAGAGTCTATCCCTCTCATCATTTAAGAGTTATTTTAATATAGTTGGAGGTGCACATCCAGCAGTGTTTAGCAGTAGTAATCTCTTTTACAGATTTGCTCTCGTTTTATCACTCTGCACCTACGGGTGTATTATTTGCATTAAAAAAAAAAAAAAAAAAAAAAAAAAAAAGGAAGAAGGAAGTTAATTGTTGCTAGAATTAGCCAGAGAAGACAAATCTGTCTGTCGATGGCGCAGCTCGCTGCCAGCAGCCCGGCTGCGCTGACGCGTGTCATGGCAAGCGATTGCCACAGGGTGGTAGGAGAAGTGCGGCTCCGCGGCCACGCCAGCCCGCGCAGGGCCACGAAAAGTTCGGGAAGGGCGAGGGAGGAATCGCTTTCCACTCAGGCTAAGCAGAGGTATCAAAAATAAGGTTTTTCTCATGGCAAATCCAGATGGTTAAACATTTGACCCATACCTAATCCCTCTGCCAAGCGTGCACCGCCACCATCACCGCTGTCGTAACACAGCACAGACATTTAAAATCACTTCAGTTCCAAGGAGCACTGCGCCTTTTGGAGAAAATTAAATTTTAAAGCGTGTAGCAGAAATAGAAAACAAGGTCCTGACAACATGTTATGGCTCCAGCTTTGAGAAGAGTGGTATCATATATACTAAAATAATTCACTGGGGCTGCAGCTCGCTGCTGTTCTGTGCACTTTGTTATGATAATATTGTACAAAACGTGGAGCAGCGCTTTGATCTTAAAAGATTATTTCACTGAGACCTATTTATTTTACTTAACCATTTAATAAAAGGGTGGGGACTTTATTTGCCAGAGGAAAAAAAGATCACAAAAAGAGTTCTGCCTCTCTTGTAAGTCCTATTCATTGTACTGATGAGTCCTATGGGTTATTGATCACTGATGGTGAAATATTAAGGGGAAGGATCAAGTGATGCATATGCAAACTAAATTCTTGGGTTTTAGCAATTACCTTAATGCCACCAATGTTCAGATTTGCTTTCAAGGGTGTCTTACTTGAAACACAGAATAGTGCTCATTTATATTAGAGACTATCAGAGACACCTTGACTGAAAAATAAATAAATAAATAAAATAATAAAGTAGGAAACATAGCATGTGTTTCATATAAATATAAGTTCCAAATGCCTTCATATTTTATTTGGGGATTAATATAGTTATGTCCAACAAACAGATGAGGACAAGAGAGGAATATTGAGCTCACGACCTTCCGGGTGTGGAACAAACTCCATATTCAAAAATGGGCAAGGTTTATGTAGTATACGATCATGTTTTAAACAGTTCATAAAAGAAACCAAGTGACAACAGAGCAGTGTGGATGATATAAAATAATGTAAACCTTCCTTCAAATATCAAGCAATTTTTTCTCTGCCTCAACTCACTTTCCACAACAGAGTGAGTGAAAAATCCATAGAGAATAAAACCAGTGATCCCTTTGAGCAAGGATACAAATTTACCTAGATATGTCAACCACACAGATTTATGGGACAAGGAGTTTTTCACCCTGAAGAAAAAAAGCCTTCTTGTCAGTCATCTATAAAAAAAAGCTGAAAATAAAACTCTCTGAGTTATTTTTCTGTTTTAAGAATTACAAGAAATTTCTGTTAAGGGTTGTTGGGGTTTTTTGTGGCTTTTTTTTTTTTTCTTTAAGCTTTCCCATAACCATGGAATAGTTCTCTTCATGGATGTATAAGAAACACTTGTGTTGTGCTGCTATTAATGGTATGATTTGTTAGTGTACTTTTATGTATGGAGTGTCTGCATCTGGTAAGGTCTACAACTGTACCTCCTTGACAGTGCCAGATGTTGTGAAGATAAAATACCTCCTGTGTGAGGAACTGCTGGAATCAGGCTCCATGATAGGTGTTCTTAATGCAGTTTAAAAAGGCATCTGTCTTAAAATAATTTCAACATCTTACTTTTCTATTTACTGTTTTGTCAGACCTTTCTTTTTACTGGGAAAATATTTTCATGCCCCTCCTAAATTGATTTTAAAATTGCATTTCGGTTTCTTCCATATTGTTTTTTGTGGGTTTTTTTGGGTTTTTTTTTAATTCTAAATTACTTCCCTAATGAAAGGGAGACAAGGAAGAAAAAGTTTACTGTGGGACTCAACTGAGCTTAAGCATATTGGCCCAACCAAGCAAAAAAATTGTCAGCAAGTATTTTTAAACCAGGTTAGCCATGAAAGAATATGGAAAATAATGAGTCTGAATTTAGCCAAGATTTGTTCAAAACATAACAGTGGGGAGACAAGAGGGCTGATAGAAGGCAGGAGAAGAGCCCTGCTTCACTATCATACCCCATAACTCACTGCATTGTCAACCTCTTAAAATAGTAATGATACTTGACCCTTATTAGTATTTCTGGGCAATATATGAGCTTGAGTTTCCTTGGGTGAAAGATAATGCCTTAGACCACCCTTTAGACCACCATTCTATCTAGTTATAGTACATATTAATGTTATTCTTGGGTCATTTAACTTACTCTCAGTGAAGAGTGGAGAATGGTGCTAAGCTGTAAATCAGCTCTGTCCTGCAATGGATTTGTGCCATAAGAGATCATCTTGAAAATTCCAGCCTTGCCTGACCATGGTAAAGAGATTATGGTATGTAAAAATTCTGCTAAACATAGCTTGTTTCATTTCTGTGCTTCTCTGCCTGTCTGCCTGGTGAGGAAATGTTAAGACCCGTTGTGGTGGACAGTGCACTGAAAAGGAATATTGCTGTAATAAACCCCCCAGGGCTAAAACTTTTACCATATGTGGTTAAACTCTCCATCTTTTCTAAAGGTGAGCTGCGGCAGTGAGGAAATTATTAAAGAAGGCCACTGATACTGTGCATAAAAATTATTTTTTTAATCCTCGGGGAAAAAGAAATGAGTTCATAAATGTATTGTGCTTAAAAGGTATCCTCTGAGTGCCAGTGCTCACACCCAAATGACAGACTGAAACGTTCAGTGGCATTAGTCCATTTAACTAAATCCTGATTACTTGAGATGAATTCATTTAAAAAGCAAATGTACTGCTACTCCCTTAGCAAAGGTTTCACTAACTATTTCTCGAAATCATAAATATTTTTTTCCACACTGTTCTGGCAAACAAATAATGTTTACCTTCAGCTTCCTAGAGAAGATTTACAGATAAGTCCCTAGTCTGTTTTGCAGATGTGCCTTGGTGAATTTAACAGTAATATATACTGTCATCACGGTTGTCTTCAAATCTTTGAAATCACTTATGCCTTTTACAATACATATTTAATTGAATGTCTAGCTAGCAGATATGTATATGTATCTCACATTTGTGGGTGGGCATGTGTGTGCCTAATACATATATTTAACACTTAAACATGGTACGATGAGTGACTGAGAAATGCCTAAGAGAGAGATATTTTATACATGCACAGAGTCAGTAAATGCGTAATCTCCTGAAACAGCCAGAGACGGAGGGGAAA